TCAAACAATAATAACATCAAAATATATAAACGATGCAAACCATATCTTTAATTGCACTATATAATATTGGATGTTCTAATTTAAATAATTATATATCGATTCATGTATTCTTACTATATTACAACAAATTCATTCCGTGCATCGCACGGGTGCAAATACTAGTTACTATAATACTATATTATGGTAAATGGTAATATATATAGTAATAATATGACATATATGGCAATAATAATAGTCAAATACAGTATTAATGATTAATTAATATATACCATATTTCAACCATATATTACTATATATTGGGTACATCGGGTCGGGCCGGCCCATTAAATGCTCGTGAAAATCAAGGTTACAAAGGGGAAACGCGGCGACGCTTCAAAATTGCAGCCGGATAATTGATCGCCATCGGAATACGTGGCGCTCTCCCATTCGCTAGCGTGCTGCGTTGGAATCGTGACCGGTGACTCCTTTTCTCTCCCCTAGCGTCTTCGTCACCCTTAATCATCAGGAAAAGGAAAAAAAGAAAAAAAAAAAAAAGAGAAAAAGTAAAAAATATTCTTTCTTCTTCGCCGTTCTGGTTCGGATTTCTCCAGTTTTTTTTATTCAGGTAAAGCTAAGAATGGACGATTTGGATTCGTTCCAAGACAACAACTGGGACCTAGCCGATTTCGATTGTTTCGTCAATCCAAGTCCCGATCTTTTCTGGGATCATCAATCCATTTCCCTGAGGTAAATTTGGTTAAAGATTCAAACTTGCAGCTTTTTGGATTTTTTTTAAGTATTATTTTTCTCTGGCCAAAAAGTTTGGAAATAATTGTTGTGCTTTCTTTGGAGTTTATTCTCGTATTGATTTAGGAACATTACTTGTTTGCCTTCAAAGTTCTGAGTTTTCCCAATCTATTTTCCCTGGAGAAGGCAGGTTTGGTTCTAGCATTGTTTGTGTTTGTGTCTAGGAATTGGGTGAAGATGTGAATTTTGGCAACTAATGGAGAGCTTGTTTCACAATAATTACTGGCCTGAAAATTGTAAAAATGGGTGAAAAGAAGGATCTTTAATGTTGTGAAATTCTAAGATTGTAAAAATGGATGAAAAGATGAATCTTTATTCTTTAATGTTGTGAAGACAAGTTATGAGGTAAAAAACTTGACCAAAGTAGGAATTAACTGCCCATCTTTTTCTGTTGTCAGTTAATTTAATGTGTTTTTCCTTGCAGAAAAAAAAAAAAAGATTTAATGAGGATTAGATAAGTACATGCTACTTGACCATAAGCATAATTACGAAATAATGCATAGAAATGAAGTTTATTGTTTGGCCACTAATTGGTAGAAATGATGAACTGTTTACCACAAAGGCACTGCAAATCATAGTTTATACTTGGGCTGCAGATCTTCAGAAGTGGATACATCGCATCATGGTGCTACATCTCAAGGAAAAGAATGTTTAGAATCAGAATGCCAGAGAAAGAGGTATTTTTTGTTTGTTACTCCATATAAATTTGTAATTGGCACTTCGATTTTTATCATGTTCTTAGTACAGTATAATAAAGCGTGAGCATTTTGATGCATTTATATGTTTGGTGTCTTGTGTTATGACGTTATGTGCTTACTAGCAGCGGATAATGAAGTTCTTTGCATAAATTTTTTCATCCCAAGTTCAACGTTTTAAACTCAATATCCACTTCTAGCTTTATTAGTCCAGAAGACTTGCATAAAAATAAAGGATGCTACTTTTTATTAGGGGTTGGTTTCCACTTAGATTGGTTTTCTTTAATTTGTGTGTTTTACATCATTATTTTGTTTTTAATAGGGGGCGCAGTGATTCATGCAACAAACTAGGGAGCAAAGCTTGCCGTGAGAAACTAAGAAGGGAAAAGTTGAATGAAAGGTATCCTTATGATTCCATGAGATTGCTTGAAATGTATTTTGTTTCTCTTATGGTTTAGATGGTTGCATTTAAAATTCGGTTCTAGTTTTTGAGCAATTGAGCAGTTTTAATCGCTCACTAGAGTCATTATTGTGAAACTATGATGAATATATCCTTTATGCAGATTTGCGGAGTTGTGTTCTGTTCTAGAACCTGAAAGGCCTGTAAAAACCGACAAAATGGCTATACTTGGGGATGCCATTAGAGTTCTAAACCAGTTAAAGACAGAATCTCAAGAGTATGCAGAGATGAATGAAAAGCTTTTGGAAGAGATCAAAACTTTAAAGGTTAATTATATGGTCATTCTTTGTGGCTTAAATTTGAGTTCCGGGCACAAGTCATTTGATTTATGAATTCTCACTCTTAAACAGGCCGAGAAGAATGAACTTCGTGAAGAGAAACTGACACTGAAGGCAGATAAAGAGAAATTAGAGCAGCAGTTGCAAGCAATGAGTGTACCGCCTGCTGGTTTTATGCCACCCCATCCCGCTGCATATCCGCCTGGGCCCAATAAGATCGCAGTTTACCCCAGTTATGGTTATCTTCCGATGTGGCATTATATGCCTCCATCTGCTCGTGATACATCTCAAGATCATGAGCTCAGGCCACCTGCCGCTTAATTCTTAGGCTGATTATGTGCTATATTTGCCCTTGTTCTTGTAAATATTGGTAATGCTTCCAATATCGAGTTGGGCTTGTCTCTAACCCCGCTCTTTCCTTTGGGGTTTTTTTTTTTTTTTTTTTTTTTTTAAATTTCTGGTACAGGTACATCGTACATGTATTTGGACATGATTGTTTTAGATGCAAGTGAATTTAATTTGCAGTACTTTTGGTCTCAAACTTCATTTTTGCCCTTTTTCTGTCTGTGTGCTTTTATCGTGTTCTCTTTTCCATCCTAGCCTGACATTACGTATCATGGCATATCTTGACTTGCCAGTTTTGAGTATTTGGAAGCTGTTCCGATCCAGATATCCATTTTCAGGGAAGAACAATAATACAAGGACTTAAAGGATTGCCTGGCAGGCTTGACTCGAGTTGTCTTTCTGCAAAGGTACCTGCTTTACTACTTTAAGTTTACATTTGTTGTTTCGGGTCATTTTAATGTTAATTTCTACATCGATACATTCTATGGTTCTGCTGTTCCGACATTCAGATCAGGTATAAGCTGTCTCTTCGAGTCTCCATAATTTTCTGCTGGGATTTCTTCAGATTGCTCTTTCACCTTCATTTCTGCTTCTTGATCGTGTTCTTTTCCCCAGAGTAGCAAGTAGAGACCAACTATCACAATCACTGCACCTATGATGCTGAAATGTCAAAAGATGGATAGTTAGAATTCAATGCTCCATCCCGCCCCGAACCCCCCCCCCCCCCACCCTATTACCTGCCAGTATATAGCTTTTCTCCCAGGACGAAATATGACAGAACCGCGACCAAGATTGTTGACAGAGGATTGAACATTGTAACGAAAACCGGTCCCTTTTGCTCTGTGCACCAGAGTTGAACGTAGACCACTATACCAGAAATCACGACCCCCTGAGATTCATTCATTCATCCACCATTGAATCAGTTCTGTGAGTATTGAGTGAAATAACCAGATTGCTTAGAGCTACTTACTCCATAAATGGTGGACCAAAGATCAATGTTGAAGCCAATGGTCCAAGCAGCTTTTTTGTGCTGCACAATTACTGTATACGCTGCAGATTGTGCTGCTCCGACCAAACTCATCCAAGTAGTCAGCGATAACTGTGCTGGATATCTTCTCAATGCGAAAGCCTGCAGATTTTGAGGTGATATCAGTCTTTATAAGTCAAAAAATGCTTATTTCTTCAAGAAATCGGGATTAGGCTTTCCAAGTTTGTTTTTTTTGCATCATTGTGAGACTAATCTGGATCCATGCCTGATCGGCCCCCGCCAAGTTTGGCTCTTACTCGGGCAATATGTATCTGACCTGGGTCATGCCCGCAGAGTTTGACTCTTATTCTGGCCTGGCCGGGCCGGGCTGGGCCAAGAACGCTTGTAGAAATGCAGTTAGGAGTTAAGGTGGTGAGTGATAACCTGCATTATAAACCATATAGACCATGATATACAGCTAGCAACAGTTAAAACCGAGCCTTTCACCCAGTTTTCTTGAATAGTTGTGTTCCCTTTACTAATGGAGATGGGAGGGTGCCCTAGGTTTTTCAGGACAGGTCCCTTGTATAGTGTCATAATCATCATTCCAGCCAGCGAAACCAAAGTCCCTAGAACCTTTGCAATCCCTCGAGGACTGCGTATATCAACCACTTCCAATCTGCACGAGACAAAAAGATTCAATTTTTTTTTTTTTTTTTACTTCATTGTTATTACACACTATACTTGTATACCTGAGAACGATTGCCATTACAAATGTTATGGCAGCCATGGCGTTGACAACAGAGGCAATGAAAGTCGGAGAAGTGTAGTTTAAGCTCACAAAATACATATTCAGAGTCAAGCTCACTCTGCAATTACAGAATGACTGGCCTGTTAGTCTGTTTACTATCATTGCAGGGTTTATGAATCTGTTTATACAAAGTTATGATTTTTAATCGAAACTTTTACCCCAGAAGCGAGAGAACGAAGATCTCTAGGAAGATAGCTAACGTCATTTTTGGCCTTTTTGTTCTGCAGGAAGTCAACATTACATGGCGAGGAACTATGAGTCCAGAAACACAGCAGAAGCTGAAACGAAACGTTGTGAATATCTAACGTACCTTTCAAGAAAGTATGCAAAAGGCAGAAACACGAAACCAGCAACGATATGTCGGTAAGTAACATAGACATGAGGGTTCATGCCATGGTTGAAGGAAGCCTGGGTTACGATGTAGAGGAAAGTGTAGGCCAGCTGAGCCAGAACCATGAGAATGTGAGGCTTCAACTGCTGAAATTTCCCGAGAATTCTGCCTCTGAACCCCTCCCCCGCCATTGCAGCTGTTTACGGTTCTGGGTAGTCTGAAAATCTTAATGGGGCCTTATAAGGTGGTGTTGATTTTGTTGATATTCTTGACAGTTCTGCATGAATGCAGGATCAGAATCAAGAATGGAGGAGAATATAATTCTTGAAATGCCTCATTATATTCTTACCAGATTTGATTTGAAGGAAAGAAGCTTTACACTGTTGTCTGTATAATGGCAATAAGTGGAGGAGTATAATAATTAAGTGGAGTATCATATATAATGGCAATAAGAATATAAATATAATAAATATATATATATATATATATATATATATATATATATATATATATATATATATATATATATATAATGGCAATAAGTGGAGTATAATTGTATAAATATAATAAATCTATTTTTGGGTCCACTATTTTAAATGTACCGTCAGCCTTGAAATCTTAACTGTACTTTTCAATTTTAGTCCTCAACATTTGTAGCATTTTATTTATAGTTTTCAACTATCATTTTTTTTTAACTATTAATTTGTCAACTTCGAATTTTGTTACTACTTCTAGTCCTTTTAGCGTGTGCACGTGTTGACTTCATGTGATATTTGATTCAAAAATTGACTGAAAAGACTAAAAGTAGCATAAATTCAAAGTTGAAGGATGGATAGTGAAGAAAGAAAAATGATAGGCAATAATTATATATAAAAGTGTCGCAAAGTTGAAACGTATATTAAATTTAACGGTCGTGACTACAATAATTTCAGGAAAAAAAAAAAAACCAATCAATCTAAGTTGGATCATCAGGGCGGACGTTACTATGTAGAATGATTTCACTCAACCATATTAATGGTGTACCATGTTTCTATATGTTGTCTGTAACAAAGAACCTCATTTACTTACATTAACAATAGTTAGTTTATCAGTTAATTTTGGTTTGTTTCATCACTATTAGCTGTTTGAATTCGTTAAACAATCAATATGAATATTTGATTAATTAGCTTTTTATAACAGTTTATTGCTCTAAAATTTAAAAAGTTGCTCAAAACAGATTTTTGAAAAAGTCATTTTATATGTAATCAGCTATCAGCTAATTTACCAAACATTTTTCTATAATCAACTAATGCTATCAACTAGTCAAATTCACTAACAGCTATAATCAGCTAACAACTATTTACCAAACACCTCCTTAAGAATTGCACAAGTATGAAGTAAGGGGTTCGAGGTCATATATAAGTAGGGATAAGCAAACGGTCAGTCGGTTACATAAACCGATGAGAATTTTTGACTGTCATAACCGACCGAAAGAAGCTTATAATCAACCATATGTATGAATTGAAATATAGATAAACAATATGCATCAACTAACAAATCCTGTTATTCTATACATACATAGTTTGACACATCCAAACTACAAATTAAACCTTAACTTGTTGCCCAAATCCAGAACATGATTAAAGAGGATAAAGCTATCATTATCCAACTCAGGAAAGCCAATGCTACTGCTAACTGGAACTTTGTGCATTCATCGCCGAAGCTACAACCCCCGAGGTCGCCATAGTACAAAACCGTTATTCCAGCCGAAGACGACGCTGCAGAAAGGGATGCCGTCGCTGTCACCTGACAATGAGTTCATATGAGAATCGCCCATCTATCAGCAAAGCTAGAAACAAGAAATCGAATTCATTCCTTGATGCAGTGAACAACACTAACCCAATCTCCAACAGCAAAAACGGTTACTAAGAAGTAACTGTGGAGCGCCTTCTTCTTCGCCAAGGAATAAGCGTCGAGGATTGCAAGACCGCCACTCCAAATCACCTGTAAAGCCATGGAAGCAATCAAGTAGCTGCAATAACAACGACAACAGAGGTTCACGTCAGTAATTTTTCCCATTCTATAACTGGTAGGAAAGTATTCCCGTTCATAACAATGATATCGCTTAGAAGTTCAAGTTATAGATTTCAGACAATACGCTAAGACGGACGCCCGCCAATTTGTTTTCCACACTGATACTTTAGCATTGAAAAGCTTCCGTAGTTAAGGAAATCAAACAACATTTGATTTATCAAGATAAATGGTCTATAATTCGGAAGAAAATGGAGAATGTTATTGTTATAAAGAATATAGGATCCGAAGAAGGAATCAGAATGTTCTTGGTAAATACTACGGTTTTTTAAATGACCTAAAATCTATCCATTAGTATGCATTTTTTGTAAATAAAGTATCAAAATTGAAGCCATTTCCACCATGTCTTGTATGTGATCTTCCTATAATTCCTATAAATATAGCTAAACTACCTCACTGTAACCCGTCCTAATATTGCTTACTCAGTAAGTATTGTAAGTCAGTTTATGGCATCTCCAACTGTTAACCATTGGAGAGTTGTTGAACAAATCTTGAACTACTTGAAAGGGGCTCCAGGGCGTGGAATTGTATATCAAAACCATGGACATATGAAGATTGAGTGCTTTGCAAATGCAGACTATGCAGGGTCTAAGGAGAATCGGAGATCTACAACCGGATTTTGTGTCTTCTTTGGTGGGAAATTGATCTCGTGGAAAAGCAAGAAGGAGAATGTTGTATCACGGTCGAGTGCAGAGTCAGAGTATAGAGCAATGGCACAAGCAACCTGTGAAATCTTGTGGATATATCACATTCTGAATGAAATAGGACTCAAGGCTCCTATTCCTACGAAGCTATGGTGTGACAATCAGGCGGTTCTCCATATTGCAGCCAATCCTGTCTTCCATGAACGAACTAAGCACATTGAAGTTGATTGTCATTTCATTCAGCTTAATCTCTACAGGTTTTGTGAAGACAGGAGAACAATTAGGAGATCTTTTTACAAAAGCCATGAATGGACCTCGAGTAGATTACTTATGTAACAAGTTGTGCAAGATCAATATCTATGCTCCAACTTGAGAGGGAGTGTTAGACATTATAAATGGTAGGAATATATTTAGCATGATATAGGGATTAATGTGTATATTCTTAGGTTCCGATCCTTACCTTAGTTAGTATATAGTTTCTTGTATAAATATGTATATTCCTTAGTTCTTCGGTTAATAAACACTGGATTCCAAGACTTACTTACTAGAGTCATCATGTCAAGAACACTGGATTCCAAATACAATAAACAAAAAAATGGCGAGCCTATGATGTTTCACTGGAATGCTAACTACAATCTGAACTAAGGCATTATATAATGGGGTAACAATGTAGAATTGTTAGCATAGCAACGAGAAGTTGAACTAAGTACATAGACACATGGATAGTATCCGGCAAAGTTTACAGTCAATTCCAAGGCAAGAATCACACAGGAATGCGATAAAGTCCAAGCCATTGCAAGCATTTGAACTTCCCCTCTCATGAAACATAATATTGGGCATCATTCACATCATATAGAGGTTCAATTTGAATCCTAAATCCTAATCCTAATCCTAATCATAATCATGTGATTCTGCAAAGTAGTATCAATCACCCAGAAACCTAATTTCAGATTCAAATTAATTGAATGGGATAATCAATGCAAAATACACAAATGCTGATCTCAATCATCACAGCAAAACAGCAGATCTTGAACTTGACCTAAAAACTGAAAGGAGAAACATAAATATAAGCTGAGAAAAAGGAAAGAAATTACCAGAATGCTGTGACATTGAAGAAGCTACTAGAAGATGCCATGGAGACAATTGAACCAGCCGCAAAGATGAATTGCCCTACCCTTAGAAGAAGCCCAGTCACAGTCCCCGGAGTTCCAGCAAAATTCTGCATTTTTTTTTTTTATCTTTCCTGTACAGAGAAAACCTTCACTCCCTCGATGGGCTACCGGAGAACTCCATCTTCCTAAGGGAAATGTCTCACTCAATCAACGAGAAATCGAAAAAGACTGGAACTTTATCAATCCTACCAAGAAATAAAAAGGAAATTGGGGAAAATTATTGATAATAAAAAGAGAAAAGCAGGATCACGGAAGCACAAAGCACAAAGATTTTATTTTTCTTTAATATGTGGGGAGATGGAAACAGGAAACTCAAGATTGAGTAGTTTATACTTTATAGAAGAACAAGAACAAGACAAAAGACACCGGGCACGCTGTTCTGAGACGGAAATGGAGCAGCCCGCCACGCTCTTTCTTGAGGAGATGTCTACAAGAAGAAAAAGGCAACTACTCTTGGCCCAGTTTTTTTCAGATGGGGGAAGTCACCTAAATTGAGGGTAATTTTGGGATTGTAAAGATTTTTTCTTGTTTTACCGTGGTTGTCAAAACGGGTTCAACTCAATAGACGGGTTCAACTCAATAGATTTGACATGGAGTTATGCTTAAATACTCCCCTCGTATTATAACTATGGCTCAACTCTAATTCTCTTTATCTTCTTATGTTTCTCTCTGAGTCTGAGTCTTTGATTCTAACTCTCTTTGTTGAGTTGTCCGACATAAGGGTGAAAATAAGTCAAATTGGGTTGGGGTTTTGGCTAAATAGGGTTAGGCATGAGGTTTGAGACTATAAGTGAGCTTTTTTGGTTAAAAGCGTGAGCTCACACTTCATTACCGATAGAATTGAACTTTTCTCTTCTTTCCTTCGACGGGACTGGAGCTAGATGGTGAGGCATATCGGTCGACAAAAACATAGAGCTTGACTGCTTGAGTTGACTAATACGAAGTAATGAATTGGTATTGAATAAAAGAAATTAGGGCGTTAACTAGTATTTATTTATTTTTATTGCCAAGACCTTGTGGTCTAAGGACATTCGGGTTAGAATCCTATAAAAGAGGTTGTGAGTTCGAGTCTTAATCAAGGCGTTAATGGCCACCCTCTTAGCAACGAGCCCATTTCATGTTTATAAGTTTAAATGTAGAAGAAGCTTCAAAAAATAATAGGGAGAAATAAAATTATAATTCCACCAAAAACAAAGTTGTAAATCACACCCTAAAAGTTCCCAAAGTACCAAAAATACAAAGCTTACAAAGATATATGGTCTCCCGTGACAACAGGAAAATTTTGTTTAAATTAGTGCACATCAAAAAAACTGAAACTATGTCCCTCTTCTTCTTTCCCTCTCTCAGTTCATTTTTGCCTTTGAAGCCTTCTTCTTTGCTGTTCTCCTGGGCATGGAGTTCTTCATGCCAATGAAAAACAGCAGCCCTCCCAGCAGCTGCAGACCCTGCCAAAACAGTTCCACGTTTAACAAAGATTTCTGAATGGTTTCTTTCCCCTCGTTGGATAGAAGTGAAACGAAGAGAGTTTTCTTGTTACCTGTGAGAACTTGATGAAAAGCTGAGCGAATTCTTTCTTGTCAGCTTCGTAGTTGTAGAAGTCATATAGGATCGGGGTAACAATTGCCTGGTGCAAGAGCTGCAAACCGAGAGAGCAATAAGAAAAGCGGGGAATTGTTGTATAAGATGATTAATTGAAGCATGTGCTCCATCTCAACTAAAAGCCTAAGCTGATAGTTGGATTGCAAGCAACACGTGAACCGTAGTCGCTTATAGGTTTGGCATGGCTCTAATACCAAATTGAAGCATGTGCTCATCTCAACTCAACTAAAAGCCTAAGCTAATAGTTGAATTGCACATTAATGGCTATATGCTCAACAATATTGAAGGGAAACATTAACGTATGTATACCAGGATATAAGCTCCGAGAGAGCTGCCAAAGACGAACAGAAGACTTCCAAGCCCCTTCATAACGATAAAGCCCAGAGCGAGATGTTTCATCTGTAATTGGTATAATTCAAGTTAAGTAAGATCGATCGATCCATGAAGGAATATACAGAAACAAAAAGATTATTATTACCTCTACGTGGGGAACTTGGAATCCAGTTTGTGCTGTGATATGCTTAGTGAAAGCATTGAACTTGGGCCTCAATGTCTTCGCTGCTGGCCCGCCATCAGTCCCGAATTCATTAAACCTACACAACACGCAAGAGATCATTAGAAACGTTCGGCATAGGTAGCATCGAAATACTGTCAACTAAAAATCTAAACTGATAGTTGGATTGCACATTTATGATTATATATTATATGCTCTACATAAAGAACCAAGTCACAAAAGCTATGCCAAAACCGTAAACTAATTAATGCTTTTTAGCATCCAATGATATCCATGGTAACTATTAACTAAATTCCCCACTTTGCTAATCACTAGTCCCTGGCAAAACAATTACAAGAAACAGAGCTATAAACAACAAAAAACAAAATCATTTTAACTTTCTCCCAAATCCAACACTATACAGCAAATACAATACACAGTTTAGTCACCACACTGAAACACCATTGCTCAATTGAAACACTCAGCCCTCAGCCCAACAATTTTCGCCGAGAATACGAGCTAAGCATATCAATCATACCAGGATTTTACCATAATATTTGGACCACATAATGCCCAGCATCCCTAGTTCTACTCCTATACAGCATAAGAATCAAAGCAAGTTCAACTCGCCTTGGAACTGTCTTTATTCGCCCTCTTAGTTTGAGTCGGTCAACTAGCTAGACTGATTAGGGTCAAGGTCACAAGGCGGGATTTCTCATAAATCAAAGCATAAGAAACAAAGCAAGTTCAACTAGCCTTTGAACTGTCTATTCACCCTCTTAGTTCGAGCCGGTCAGCTAGCTAGACTGATTAGGGTCAGGGTCACAAGGCAGGATTTCTCATAAATCAAAGCATAAAGAAACAATGGTCCAAATGAATCAAGACAAATCAGATGCCCATTGCTAAAAGATCAGAACTTTCCCCTTTTTTTATCACCACCAACCAAAACCCAATCTTTAAAACTACACACATTAAACAGATTCAGCTCTAGTTTGCATCAATTCCAGGCTCTCCCCACACTACAACTCAAGCTCGTCAAATCTAACCTCAAATTTGACTAGCCAAGAGAATCCAAGACTTCCAAAACTCAAACAAAAACAACACTAAACAAGGCAATTAATGAACCCAACACAACCAGAAAACATTAAAACAATTAAACAAAGCATGTATACACTAAACATGAGTAAACACAGCAGAAACAGACCTGAAAAATGAGAGAATAAACAGCAATAACTTACTCTTGATAAGCCGAGAGAATGAAGACGGAGACAAAGAGAAGCCTGCCCAGGAATGACAAGAACGCCATAGCTTTAGGGATGACCAAAAGCTCTCTCTCTCTCTCTCTCTCTCTCTCTCTCTCTCTGAACTTCTCTCTCTAGGAAAACGGGGACAGCGGTACACAGCAAACGGAATAGTGAAGAATCACGACCCGAGATGGCTTAAATATTTATTTTGGACTACCAAATTATTCAATTTTTCCCGCCGTTAAAAACATAACGGTCGTCGCTGCGAAATCGTCAGCCGCCGCTCCACTTCCTTCTCAGAAGACTGACGGCAACCCTTCACGGAAGGGTTACGTTAGTTGAGAGAGAGAAAGACACGTCTCATGGACCAATAGCATTGGGTCCGCTGCTTTGCTCACACACGTCTCATGCTCCGACGTGGCATTGACCGCCGTGTACTTTGTAATTTGTAATAATATTTATTTTTTGAAAATTGTAATAATATTTATTTTGATCACTTTTATACCAATTTGATTTCCAATGTGATTGATTTATTAGTTCTTTTTATCGATTAACTATGTTTAATTTATACTGATTTACCTCCTTGTGATCTTTTACAGGGCGTTTCGTTGAATGGAATTTAAATTCTCTTCCCACTTAATTCTCACATAATTCCAAATACCACAAAATTTCCTTGTTTGGTTGAAGAGAATTGCAATTCCCCCATTTTCATGGAATTAAAATCTCATGTCCCCCTTGAGATTTTAATTCCTAGGATTTAGGAAGAAAAAAATATAATGATGAGTCAAAATTACTCCTCTATTTTTTTAACTTAAAATTAACGCCTAACAACAATAATGGACATTTTTGACTTTATACTACTTATTCTCTTTCAATTCCCATATATACCAAACATTGAAATTGAAATTCCCAATAATTCTATTCCTGTAAACCAAATATTGGAATTTAAATTTCACTTTATTCTCTTTAATTCATCTCTCATGGAATTGCAATTCCTTTCCCACGTAATTCCACATCACCAACCAAACGCACTGTTATTTGTTAGGATTACAAAGCAAAGTTTACCATGTGTCGATTGCAATTTTCCCTTAATAATAATAACTAGTAATTCACCCGCGCGATGCACGGAAAAAAATTATGTTATTATAAATATAAATAAAAAAATAAAAAAACTAAAATATTTTAAATTATTTAATATAATAATATTTTTGAGCTTTCATTGGTCAAGTATTTATTATTTTTATAGAATATAAAATTATAATTAAAATTAAAATTAATATTAAAATTACAATTTTGTATGGTTAATATAATCTCTAATTATGTGCATATTCAAATAAACTTATAGAGAGAATTTACATAATTACATTGATTTATTCTTAATTGCATTTCATCTATATCATAATTTTCACAATACGAATAATAACTAAGATAATTGGATTTGGAAAGCAAATTTCAAATTTTGTATGTGTAAATTTAAACTCTAATTGAACACATTTTTTATATGATTATATAATATATAGCTATTTTATTTTTCAAAAGTATATTTTTTATATGATTATATAATATATAGCTATTTTATTTTTTAAATGTTGTGTTTTTTTTTTATATAATAAAGAATATTGTGACATTAATTGTAACATTAATTATTTCTCAAATCATATAGCTTTATATAATAAAGGATAACAAAAAGTAAATAATGTAATCCATGTTTCAATCTTGATTCTTACATTTGAAACCTACATGCTTTTAGGGGAGTTGTTCTTGAATAATTAGATCAAATTCTACTAAACTAATCTAATATTTGATTTGTCGATAACCTTGTGGTCTAGTAGCACTAGGGGTGTTAGCGAACAGAGCTTTCGGCAAACTACTCGTGTTCGTGTCCGGTAAGCGTTCGTTTATGTTTGTTTGTTAAGGTAAACGAACCATTAACAAACAAAAATTAGAGCTCGGTTAATAAACGAACAGAGCTTGAACAGTTGTATGCTCGTTTGTTAAGAGATCGTGAACAAGCTTGTTTGTGTTCGTTTAATAATGTTCGTGAACAAACTTGTTTAGTGTTCGTTTAATCATGTTCGTGAACATGAACGTAGATTATTTGTTATTCACGAACGAATTGTGATCATGAATATGTGTAGGTGTTTGGTTATTAAAGGTTCACAAACGTGTTCATGAACGTAAACCAACATGTTCGTGAACTGTTTGTTAACGAACATGTTTGTGAACGTGTTCGCAAATGTTGACAAACACGTTCGCGAACGTGTTCGTTAACGTAAACGAACACGTTCGTGAACGTGTTCACGAACGTTAACAAACACTAATGAACGCTTAACAAACGAACACGGACAAGATTTTCAAAAACCTTAACAAACGAACACGAACACCCCAAAATTCTTAACAAACGAACACGAACAACCTTCATTCGTTTATGTTCAGTTCGTTAACAGCCCTAAGTAGCACGAAGTGATTCTCACAAATGGGAGATTGGTTCCAGTACGTGAATGGGAAAATTGAGCACTAAATTAATCTCATTTCACTAGATATAGATATTAATGTACTACTAAAATGTCCAAACATTCATAAAATTTTCAATTAATGATACAATTTATGAAATGCATGTGGCTTAGTTATTTGGTTGCATGATGTTAGTTATACATATGTCATAAAGAACGCACATGCCACATGGTAAGGACCAAAAATATGGTTGGATTGGTACTAATGTACTATATAGTTATTGTTACCACATAATGGTCGATATAGTAGTTATATATTTAAGTATATTTCAAGTAAAAATATTTCATGTAAAGATATTCTATAACTCATATTTGATTCAACGGTATAAAAATTTTGAATCACTTTCAATTTTTTGTATGGAGTATTTTTTTTTTTTTTTTTTTTTTTAGAATATGACATATTAATGGACGTTGTAGTTCTTATGGGTTGTTTGGTAGACATGAATTTCATTGCAATTCCACCATAATTCTTTAGTCACTATGATTACAATGTTTAGTTTGAGGGAATTGCAATTTCTTCATTTTGTATACTCCATGAATTGCAATTTAATGATTGTGGAAAAGGAAAAAAATTGATGAAATGACACTATTGCCCTTGGTTATTATTACTATTATTATTACACAGGGGTATTTTAGTCTTTATATCACTTCTTTCCTTTTCAATTCCAATAATTATATTCCTCCATGGCTCCATGCTAAATAATGTAATTTTTTGAATTTATACTTTATTATCACATTATGCATTTCCCACTGCATTATTATTCATTTCCCCATCATAATTCTTTCATTCCAACAAAACGCCTTATTAGTCGTGCATGGATTTAAAAGCCAAATACTATATAGGTGAAATAAAAGTTACAATATATATATATATATATATATATATATATATATATATATATATATTTCTCCCAAATATCTAAATCCCCAATCCCAATGTCCCCACACCCCAACCAGACAGAGCATTTGAAATGATGTAAATTACATTGACTCAATAGCTCAGTAGATAGGGCCAAATATCGGTGCGCACATGAGATTTACCCGCTTTGAACATAATCCCACATATCACTCGATGATGTGTATTGTGTAAACCATTTATGATATGAGAATCATGATATCCACCCACTTGTCCATGGATGGTACAATATCTATTTGTTTTTTTAATAAGACAATTATGTTATACTTTAATTAACACAATCTACTATCTACTATTACCAACCATCCCCTTTAAATTTAAGAGTTTATACTTTTAAATTGAGACAATTATGTTATACTTTAATTAACACAATCTACTATCTACTATTACCAACCATCCCCTTTAAATTTAAGAGTTTATACTTTTAAATTGAGTTAATGCCACATGAAGTCCTCCGAGTATAGTGGTCTTGCCACGTTTAGTCATAAACTTTCAAATTGACCATCTGTGGTCATTCGACTTTCAAATTTAGTCATTCGTGGTCCGAGTTAACCACCCATGGTCCTTCAACTTTTGAAATTTAACCAGCCGTGATCCTCTTAAAAGGACCATGGTTGGTTAAAATTTAATAGTTGAAGGACCATGAGTGGTTAACTTGGACTACGAATGGTAAAATTTGAAAGTCGAAGGATCATGGATGGTTAATTTGAAAGTTTATGACTAAACGTGGCAAAACTACTATACTCGGAGGACCTTAGATGGTACTAACTCCTTTTAAATTTTATATAAGCATTTTATTTTATTAAAAAAAAAAAACGAAAACATGTACTATACACTCAAAAAATCCCTTGAGATGGGCCAAAATGTATATGTACTATTCAACAATAATAATAGTTTATGCCAATGACCTTCTGATCTAGTGGTATGAAGTGAATCTCCCAAATGAAAAGACATAGAGTTGAGTCATAATGTGGATAATATTGACTCTTTGTACCTGATTTACCTTATTATAGTCCTTGTCGGTTATGAACAACATAAATTGATTTAACTCATTATATGTTGGATATTTCGTTGGTAAAACCCAATAATAATCCTACAAAATAAAGATTATTATTTAAAAAAAAAAAAAAAGAAAATGAAAGGGTGAAGGAATGTGGCTCGGGTTTGGTGTAGGTTGTTAGCACAACTCGAGTGAATTATTCTTTCCTTAAAATCTTATTTGCTACCTCCCACAAGTGCTAGGAGCGTTGTAGCCTAGGTTTCCTAGGATAAAATGTGCTACGAATCAATGTTTGAGCACCCAAACAAAGAACTCGGCGAACAAGAGTAACGGGATGAACACAGAAGGCTAAAGAAGATAGTAGAAGCAGAGATTTTGGAGCTGAAACAATAATTTTCTGTTGTGTTAAAATTCTACTGCCTTCACTTCTTCTTATATAGGGCTGAGGGAGTGAATAGCTCCGTTATGACATTTAAAATTGGTATTAAAACCAATTGAGTAACACCTGAAACAGTCTGCCCATTACCATAGATTTAAATTAAAAATTAAATTTGGAATTAATCAGAAAAGTAATTCCGTAACGGATGAATTTATCGAGAAACGCAAGTCTCACTTGCGTTTTAAGTTTGATCAGAAATATGATAAAACACATGTAGGAAACGTCTTTTACACATTTTTGTAAAAAAAAAAAAAAAACACGTTTTGGGAAATGCATGCCCCTTCCTACACATTTATGTCATTGTTCCCTTCGGCTATGACCATCGTCCTCGTTCCAGATCTAGAAGATGGCTATAACCATCTTCTTTCGTCGGCCATGACCGTCTTCCTTAGACGGCCGTGACCTTCCTGTTGGACAGCCACGACTGTCTGTGAAGAAGACAACCACCGGATAGCCGGTGGTTGTTTTTTTTTTTTTTTTTAATAAATAATTTTGAATTGTTTAGTTTATTTATTTATTTATAATAAATAATTATTTTTAATTTTTAATAAATAAAAAATATTATAAAAAAATAAAATTGAAAGGATACGTGTCAACATCACATCGATTTAACTTGATAAACAAGTTAAATTAGACTTAATTGAACAATTTTACCGATTTAAGGGCATTAAATGAAGTTTTTTTTTTTTTATTTTTTTTTATTTAGGGTCTTAAGGACTCAATTGCACTATTCACTTAATATAGGGGGTCAATTTGACACTTTTTTTTTTTAAAATAAATCTTTTTTTTTTTTTTTTTGAAAAAAGGAGACAAGTACGAGCTCCGAAGTCCGGAGGCTTTGATGCTCCGAGCTCTGGCACTGGCAAGCCGTCGGACAATTTTGGCGCCGTTGCAGAATAGCTAATACCTATTTCCCTCCTCCCTATTCTTCTGAAGATATACAGAAAAGCTCAGCCAAGAGTAATTATCGCGATTATGGCGTTTAATCAGGATTACCTGAAAACAGTAGTACCTTCTCAGCTCCTCGCGGAGCGCGGCTCCAATCTCGTCGTCATCAATCCAGGTCCTTTCTAAACCCTAAAATTTTAACATACACCAAAAATTATCTAGTTTTTTAAATATAAACTACAACTTAGTCGCCCTAGTTCAATGTATTAATTATGTGCAATTGCCGTTGTAATATATAGGTTCTGCAAATATTAGAATAGGACGAGCTCAACAGGACAGTCCACTGAACATTCCTCATTGCATTGCTCGTCGAACCAGCCAAGTGCCTAAAAGAAATGTCCAGGATCAAGTCGGTCTATATTTTGGAAAAAAATTGATTTTTTGAAGTTGCATTTGTTAAAAGAAAAAGGAAAAAGTTAAACTGACTATGCCATTTTGGTGATGTTTTTTTTGGTGTTATTGGGTTTTAGATGCTCAATTCTCAGGTTACAACCGCACAGCATATGGAGCGCGAAAGGGCTTATGACATTGTTAGTGACAATGCTCATGCTTTATTATTTTGTTGATACTGTCATCTTAACTAAGAGCAGTAATTTTATTTATTTATTTTTTTTTTTATATCAGTTTTTTGCTTGATTTTCATGTTTTTGCTTTTCAGATTGCATCACTGTTGAAAATTCCGTTCCTGGATGAGGAGGTTCCTAATAGCTCTTATCCTCGGAAGGTACATAAAAGAAACTAATTACACACAATATTACTTGTTTCCTCGTTTAAACCAGGTTGAAATTAGATTTCCACAGCATTTCTTGATTTTATGTTTTCATGAAACTGAATCGTGTTTACAAATGAAGCAGTTTTTACATATTTTCCATGATTTCTCGTTTATATATATTGAGAAGTATCTAATAATGCAGATGGGTCGAGTTGATGCATATCCTCCACAAAATAACAAGAAAGAGATACCGTTCACTTGGACTGAGGTGTTTGAAAACACCCCTCCCCCTCCACCTTCATCAGGAGGTGAGTGAACTCCGTCTATATATATATTTTCAGTTTCTCGTCTGAAGTTTCTTAGTTGGCAGTGATGTTAATATGATAAAGTTGTACTTCTGCATTTCCATTTTTTTTTTTAAGCTAGAAAATTATTTCTGCACACATTACTAAGTTTTGCATATTCTGGTGGAAAGTCAATTTTGTTCTGCAGGCTTGTTTATATTGGTATAATTTTATTAACAAGGCTGCCTTGTGTTACTGAAAATTATATGAGAGGAAATTTCCAGAGCTTGTGCATTGTCTGGGGGCATTTAGAACATGAAACATTCATATTACATTTATACTATCTTGATTTTATATAATGGATGGAACAAAAATGTTTCTGCTAGTATCTTTCCCACAAATCAATTAGTTTTTTCTTATTTATAGTCTTTTGCTTTGAAATTGCATTTAATTAGGAATAGTGCTTCATCTTTCTAGGAGATAATAGCATAACCAATGGTGAAACTTCTGAGCCCCCCATCACAAAGGAAAACAACAATACCATGGAACTAAGTTCAGGTGAACGCAAGTATAAAGAGTACATATGTGGTGAAGACGCTTTGAGAATATCCCCCAATGAACCATATTGCTTGCGTCGTCCAATCCGCAGAGGTCACCTTAATATTTCTCAACATTACTCGATGCAGCAGGTATTATCTTCCAACTTATTTACTTACCAATTCATGAGTAAAATACTGCATCTTTGTTTTTAATTAATCTCATAGTGGAAACCATTTTATATGTTTAGATGTAAATTTGGGTCTCTTTGAATTCACACATTAACTCACACAAGTCACAACCCTATAGTAGCTGTAGGATGTCTAATAAGTTTAAATTTTTCTCTCCAAAATATTGTGCCTGACTTTGTAGCGAACAATGATTATAATAATTTTTTTTTTTCAGAGTTTCTGAAGATCCACTATTATACTTTTGCGTTTTATAGGTTCTTGAGGACCTGCAAACTATCTGGGATTGGATTTTGACTGAGAAACTGAATATCCCTCAGCATCTAAGACATATGTATGCTGCTATTCTTGTTGTTCCAGAGACATTTGATAATCGAGGTAACTATGCTACAAAATACAAATCTTGTTTAGTTTATACATTCTGCATTTATACCTTGGTGAGTTAAGAGTAGTTATCATCTGTTTTGGCTATTGTCTTTCGATATATGACAACAACAGAATTAAGCACAAATAATTTTGAACTGACACCCGAAAGTGTTGCTCCTTACCATCTGTGGTAAAATGGTTGTGTTGAGTATAGAACAATAGTTTTTTTTTTTTTTTTTTTTTTTTTTTTTTTTTTTTGAAAGCAAGAACAATAGGTTATTAAATATTGTAAGGTTTAGTTTGGCAATAAAAAATATCATTTTGATTGTCTTTGGGGAAATACTATGCATCACAATGGGATTTGACATTGGGTGGTAATTGCTTGGTTGCCTGGTTAGACAAATCTTCTCCCAAGCTATTTTGAGATTAGTAGGTCACTATTGATCCATTTTTCTTGTTTTTGTCCTTTGTCTCCATCTGCAATATGGTTCTCTTGTAATTTCTGACACCTTTAATATTAGTAATTGTGATGAGAAAAGGTTGTAGTTTTGCAGGGAAACTAATAACACCATAATAAAAAACTTTAAAAGATACAACATACAGGCTCATTCTTTATGTTGAACTTATGATCTGTGTCAAATTGCATGTAAGATTCTGTGCATTGTTTCTTTTTTTCTTTTCTTCCCCATCATAATTTATCTTGGTTATTACAGAAATAAAAGAAATGATATCTATTGTTTTACGGGACTTGCAGTTCAGTTTGACAGTTGTCCACCAGGTGATCTTTATCTCACTTTTACTTAATTTTAAGCAAGATTGGGGCTTGAGTTGTATGCATAATAATTTAGCCTGATATTGTTTCAATTGGGGTATATTCGAGGTGAATCTAAATTCTCAATTTCTAAGCCTCCAATAATTAACTTCTTTGCTTGCATGCACCCTTTTGATTTGAGAAAACAGAGCCAACTTAGTTTCTTTGGTTCTATACTAACAAATTGTTTTTGAATCTCTTGTTCTCTCAATTATTCTTTGCTGAATCAATATCAGGAAGGCCTTGCTGCAATATTTGGTAATGGTTTGCCAACAGCATGTATTGTGAATATGGGTGCTCAGGTGACATCTGTTATTTGCGTTGAGGTATGCTCTTCATTGTAGTATAGCATCAAAATGGCTGGTAACAGAATTCTTTTACTATTATACAGACCAAGAAATATACCTGGATCTGGTGGAATTTCTTGGATGGTTTATTTTTGTTTCGTGCTGGTGAATTGGACTAAGGAAAGTAACATAGTTATTTATAAGGGAATTTATTGTTTGGGTAAGAAAATAGATGGTCAAAATTTTTATACTTTGATTCTTAAGGCAATCTTGTTTTTAGTTTTAGTTATTCATTATTCTTTTCCCGCATTAGTATTCCAATTTCCAAGAACTTCTTCCAACATGTGGGTCTCCTGACCAATGTGCTTTTTGTTACCAAAATATCACTGCAACAACCAGACCTCCATGTCATCCTTTTATCTTCATTGATGACCAATACATCATTAATGAACCTAGAACTGCTGCTATGTCCTGTCATACATGATCTAGCCCCCATTCCTTGAGTGCTATGACAGCCACCCAATGCTGCTACAGATTCTTTACTATCATCATTTTTAGTGTTATCTTTATTGCAAGTGTCTGTAAGTTAGGCAGGGTAGCATAGACTTTGTTTCATAAGGTATTGTCTACAGTTTTTAAAGCTATACACTCAGTAGTCACTGACATTCTTCTATTTTGAAGTGAAGTGCACAGCATTTGGATTTTAATTTTTTATCTATTGTACAATCATCTTTGTAAAGCTATATACAGTAATTACTGACATTCTTCTATTTTGAAGTGAAGTGCACAGCATTTGGATTTTAATTTTTTATCTATTGTACAATCATCTTTGTAAATGCTCAGTTCTGATGTCCAGGATGGAGTAGCTTTACCTTCGACACTGATTAGTCTACGTTACGGTGGAGAGGTGAGAGTGCTGTGGTTTCAGACTTTATATTGCTGATTTCTGTGTCAAAAGTCTGGGGAATGCAAAATTTTTATTTTCCATGTTCTTGCATAGCATTATTTCCTTAACCATATTTCTTCAAGATAAAGTTATTGAAATACATTTTTAGTTTTTTTTTTTTTTTTTTTTTTTTTTTTTTTTTTTTTTTTTTTTTTTATTGTGGCATGTGAAGATATATTTATATTATTTAGTTGAAGTGGCTTTGTAAAATATTAATTTGCCTTTTGTCGTCATGTTGCACAGAATTTCTTTCAGTTCTTATCTTCAATGAGTCAAATTTGCCATATTGTTACAGGATATATCAAGGTGCCTTCTCTGGACTCAGAGACATCATCAAACTTGGCCACCAATTCGTACTGATGCTTTTACAAAGCCTGTAGATTTATTAACGCTGAACAAACTTAAAGAGTCCTATTGTATGATCAGAGTGAGTAGCCTATATCCTTGATTCACGTGCCTACTGATATATGCCACTGCCTGATTTTTCTACTTCTACCTAAAACTTTATCTAGCCAAAAATTTTCTCATGTTAGTCATGTACATTATTCTATGATTCGAAGTGTAAATTGATAATTGGCAATGCTTTAATGTCTTGAGCTCTTTAATACCAATCCCCTAAAATAAATAAATAAAAATAAAAAATAAAAAATTATCATTTTACTATGATTCTTCATGTAGACAAACAATGAGATCTATGCTGCATTGATTGAGATGAAAATTATATATTCACTTTTCTTCGGTTCTTCCTTTATATTTAGGAGGGAGAGGTTGAAGCGGTTGCTCAGGTTCATTCATATGAAGATGGCATGGTACCTGGATCACACAAGTCAAGGCTAACCGCTCTTAATGTAGGTCATTTTGGAAACCATCTTATCCTTGCTTTGCTTCAATATCTGTGTATGAATGAATATCTGTAGTGTTAGATTGATTACCCTTGTGATAAAATGCAAAATTTCTGATTATTAGTTATTTTATTGCAAAATATGGATCGTATTCTTATTTCTCTCTGGCTTGGGCGGGGTTTTTCTTCATTCTAAAATGACTTGATTTTGTGCCTGATATAATTCTTGAAACAGGTACCCCCAATGGGTTTATTTTATCCAACACTTTTGGTCCCGGATGTGTATCCTCCCCCTCCTCGTTCTTGGTAAGAAATCTTCATTACATTAAAATAATCCATTGTCTCTACAAAGCCTATTGTTTCCCTCCTTGCTAAGCACAAAATTGTACTTCATTAGGTTTAATGACTATGATGATATGCTTGAAGATACATGGCATATGGACTTTCCTGGCACCGGTGCATTTCCGATGTGGGAGAGCTATCCAATTTTTCAATCCAAACCGAAGAGAGAAGATAATATTGGTCTTGCAGAAGCTATTGCGAAAAGCATTCTTTCAACAGGTAGATCTAGTTACACTTGTTATTAGTGAAGCTTAATTAATTTACTTCTCCTAAACCTCTCTTGAGTTCTGATTAACAGCACGCATTGATCTCCAAAGAAAGCTGTTTTGTAGTATGCAACTGGTGAGTTTTTTTTTTTTTTTTTTAATGTTGTTGATTCAAGTTGCGTAAATATCTTGTGGAAAAGTAAACGTTCTTCAATGCTTCAGATTGGTGGAGTTGCATTGACTGACGGCCTTATTCCTGCCGTCGAGGAAAGGTTTGTTCAAAATCCAGTGTCAATAAATGCCTGTCTTCCTATTTTTGCATTGGAGTGATGAGCATTCAAACACAAAACGTTTTCCTTTTTGATCGCCTTTGTTTCTGTTTTTCACTTTATCAGAGTTTTACACGCGATTCCTTCACATGAAGCAATTGACACAGTCGAGGTTGGTTAAATTCTTATATTCACATTCATCGTGACATTCCTTTGATCAAGAACATCCATATAGCTGGTGGATTATACTAATTCCTTGGGTCGTTCATTTTCATGACCTCTTTAGGTATTGCAGTCTAGAACAAACCCCGCTTTTGTATCATGGAAAGGTGGAGCAGTGAGTAAACTCTTCCAAATCCCTTGTTTTCATCGTTTTTTTAATGATTAGATCGCATTTTATCCATTCCCATTTCCCAGCAATGTTATTGTAGTTGTTGATTTCTTACTACTGTTGCAGGTTCTAGGCATTCTCGATTTCACTCGAGACGGCTGGATTAGTCGAGAGGACTGGATCAGAAGCGGGATCGACACAAGAATCAGGAGGAAATACAAGGATTCTTATTATCTTCAGGCACATACAATGGCGTACATAAATTCATAGCCTAGTTGCAATACTTTCATTGTACTTTCAGTTCCAACGAAGACTCATTATATATTACAGTAATATTCATAACAGTGATATTGAAAATTTTATTAGTTACTCTGTAAGGCTATAGTTTTTCCTCTTGGATGCCGTCGGCAATGGATGATTCAAAGACGTGAAGGCATAGCGGCGGTTTTAGTAAACTTCAAGACGGTTCAGCGTCGGGAAGAAGCATTGATTTCCGCACCTCAGCGTAGATCTTACCGTCCTACCGCCGCTAGCGTCTCCGCAATGTGCACCGCCGCCTTCATGGTCTCCTCTGCGTTGCCGTGCGCGGAGTTGATTAGCCCTAATTCGAGCGCCTCTGTCGCCTTCAGCTTCGAGGCTTTCAATACCGAGTTCTACTACATGTACTCTCAAATCTTACTCAAGGCTCGCTTGGCAGCCACGGGGCCCGCCTTCGATCTGATTATTGCGGTGAAGTAGTCTAGCAAGGATATCCTATGTCCAGCTCGCTCATGTAGAGCACGCCTTTGTCTGACCTCATGGTGTCGTAGTCGTGGCTCATGGCTAGGCTCATGGCTAGCCGCAGCCAGGGTGGTGGTGGCGTGGCCAAAGGTTAGGTTAGATTGTAGTCATAACAAAAAGGTAATGCAACATTACAACTTAGCTAGTTTAAAAATTATTTTTATTCCATTATTATATTAATTAATGTTCCTCCTCCTAAATAATACATATGCGAAAAACATGGACATATTCGTACGACATCAACAGAATCCTTAACATGGGATTCCTTGACCATTGACTCAATTTCTTTAACACTTTATCCCACTTTTACCCTCGACAGCCGCTATAAATACTTTCCCCATTTTCCCTCTCTCCCAAACTCCTTCGTGTTCCCATTCTCTTTCTATGGCGGAGAGCAACAAGTATTTCTTACCGGAGCGGCGGCAGCCCAGCCGCTTGCAGAGGCGAGCGCCGTCGTCGATACAGATAAACCGCGCCGCCGCCGCCGCGCATTGGAACGTGGCGATACCGCTGCTGTCGCCGTTGGTTTCGTCGCCGGAGTCCAGCAATAACCTGACGGCGGCGATTAATTTGTATTCTAATTCTAGTAGTAATAAGAAGGACGAGATAGCTAGGAAAGAGCCGGAGAAGGCGCCTGCGGCGGCGACGGCGGTGTTGAAGAGGTGGCAGCACCCGGCGATGCCGTTTTGCCAAGAGCAGGCTCCTCCTTTCGTGCCGTTTGTACAGCATACGCTGATCGATTATCAAAAGTTTTAGTTTTTATAATTTTGGTGTGTATATATATATATATATATATATATATATATATATATATATATATATATATATGTATGTATGTATAGTTTGTGTTAATATGTTTCAAACTTTGGCCTTTTGTATTGAATTTGGGTGGATGAACATGTGAACCATTATGTTTTTTTTTTCTTTAAATTTATTTAAGTGAATATTTAACTAATAACTCTCAATAGAAAGATAATTTGACAAGCAAACTCACTTAAGTTTGTCATATAGTTGTTTTGATAATTATAATAAAGTTATAACTTTGATTCTTTGATCATTAAGAATTGTCTAATATATATATAATTTTCTTAGTTTAAACCGATTACTCAATTAGCTGCGCTATAGATAAGTATGTGCTTCATCCCAACTAAAAGTCTAAGCTGATAGTTGGATTGCACATTAATGGTGATATGCTCAATAAGGAGGAGATTAAAAAAGTTGAAGGCCTAAAATCTCACTTAAAAAATAGAAAAAGATTGAAAATTTTGAAAATAGAACTAAGTGGGAAAACAGAGTTAGAAAAATGGAGAATTTTTTTCCAAACTAACAGCCTATATTTCCCATAATTTCCCCTACTAAATCTGTTATTATGGTTTACTCAAGTGTTACAAGTTTTAGTATGTTCTAACTATTCATAAAGATTGGTTTCGTAAAACAAGTTTTTTTTTTTGAAAGTCATAAAACAAGTTAATAAGATGAAGTTATATAAAACGATAATTGAATTGATTGATCGGACATTATCTTACCTTTATTGATGTTTCATCACATGCATTAATGTCACTTTGTTGTTGTCCACTTCACAATGCAATTTCTTATTGACACACTTGTGCAGCTGTGCTTGTCCACAAACAAAACATTAAGAATATCCATAAAGAAAAAGTTGTATGACTTTATCTATCTTTTTCAGGTGACGAGGAATACCCATAGTCACTATTTAAGATATACATATATAGTAGATCTCATTCATATATAATAGTGTGAGCTCGCAGAAAATATTGACAAAAATTAAATTTATAACATTTTTTATGACAATTCTGATTGAAATAGAACTCAAACATGAAATCTTCCTTATAGAAAGTAACAGTGATGCCATTAAACTATAAGGTACTTGATAGAAGAATCATGTTTTACTTACTCGTATACCATTTTGGGTTGTATCTATCATTATTGATTTTGTTCAAAGAGACAACACATAAGAATCAAGGCTTGTTCCATTTGATTTGATTCTTGAAGAATGAGATCCAAGATTTTTTTTTTTTTTTGAACCAATTAAAGAATAAGCCCACAATGTTTGAAGTTTGAACATCACTTTCATAGTTTCATGCATGTAACCCCAATTCACAATCCCACTAGTTAAGAATTTTATTACGTAGGAGAATCAATTAGAATAAAGTTGCATTTTATAACCACATATCTTATTCTTAAGAGAATACATGTTTGATCCTTTAAATGTACTTTTTTGACTTCTTAATATTTTTTTTTTGTTTTTTTTTGGCAATCTTTTGAAATTTTGTACGTACTTAAACTTAATAGATGTTGTGCGTCAACCGAGTCCAACCCCTGCTTGATTTGAGACGTGGCGTTGTGACTTATCATTGAGAGATGTGGTTAAATAGTTAATGTCCACCTAATTATCACCAATTGGTCTTAGCTAGGATATGACAACTAGATAGCCAAAAAAATTCTATGGTTAAACGTGCTTGGCTTACAACAGTCATAGAGTAAGCATAGTGCAACGCTCAGATCCAACAATAGAAACTGACAGGAGGTGTGGGTTAAATAGTGAAACCCGAATCAAATATTTTATATTTCCAAACACGGGTGAACAAAAAATTAAACTATATATCATTTGGTGAATTATTTGATCAAAATTTTTTGAGGACCATTATTAATAAAAATATAAAATCATAATATAACTTAACATTACATACCATACCATGTTAAATTATAATTCTCCCTTTTAAAATATACCCATTGGGGCGGGTCTGCCTAAGGGAATACTTTGGTCAATTCAAGTTGAGAAATTCCCATGTAATATGTATGCTGTTACGCAAAGTATTGTTTCAGTTAAACCAAACCCAAATTAAAGTTAGCAATTTTAGGTGTATAATTAGACAATCGTTATGCTGTGCATCCATATGCACCATGCATGGTGCATACAGATGCCAAAATGACGTCGTTTTATTAAAAAACGTGCGTCTCCCATTTAAAAAAAATTCAGGTTCGATTCCCAGCAACAACATTATATTGTTCATTCATTCTGAAATTTTAGTTCATAGATTATGGAATTATAGTTCATTGATTATGGAATTATAGTTCATCGATTATGGAATTGTAGTTCATCGATTATGGAATTGTAGTTCATCGATTCTGAAATTTTAGTTTATAGATTATGGAATTTTAGTTCATTCATTCTGGAATTTTTAGTTCATAGATTAGATTATGGAATTATAGTTCATCGATTATGGAATTTTAGTTCATATGTTGTTGCTAGGAATCGAACCTGATTTTTTTTTAAGGGGAGACGCGCGTTTTATTAAAACGACGTCGTTTTTGCATCCGTATGCACCATGCATGGTGCATACGGATGCATGGCATAATTTGCCATAATTAGAGGGAAATTAGCAATCATTATTTGAGAGTGTATACTGAATAAACTTTACTCTTATGTAATATTCTTTTGTGTAATAACATAAAATCAGAGAAGTAAACCACACTAGAAAGAATTTATAAAGTTGACAATTGCAAGTCTATAATTAGGTTGGTTTTTGGAGGACGAGGGAAACTCGTAATCACTATCTGAGAGTGTGTGTTGAATAAATTTTACTCTTGTGTAATAATTCTTAAACCGCAAAGGAATGTATATATATATTCTTCTATGTAATAACACAAGGGAGGTAAATCGCACTAGAAATAATCTAAAGTTAGCAATTTCATGTCCATAATTAGGTTGTTTTTAAGTAACGAGACAAACTCGTAACCATTATTCAAGAGTGTAAGTGGTAAACTAGACTATAAAAGAACACAAAGTTAGCAATTTTAGGTCTATAATTAGGTTGCTTTAATTTGGCTAATTAAGGTACGTGCGTAGTTGGTCACCTTCCAATTCTCTTTTTGTGTTGGCTTCATCTTGTCGTCCATATTAATTTTGTCTTGCAAAAACAGATCAAACCAACTCCCACAATTTCATCAATTTCTCTTAAATTGAAATTTTAAAATCCATCTGCAAATACATATTTATAGTGCTTATGTGGTAGTCTTGAAACTTTTATTATTATTGTTATTATTATTATTATTATTATTATTATTATTATGCATGAATAAAAAAAATAACAATTACTCAGAAAAGAATTAACCAAGTGTGTGAAGTATGATTCTTATACTTGAAGATCACGAGTTGAATTTTTATTAACATTTTCTTAATCAAACCAGTCGTATAGAGTTTTTCTAATACGAAATTTACCTACTTTGTCACAAGAAAAAAGAAAAATATTCAATTCCAATTTGGATTTCAATCTTCAACTAAGCATTAAATTGAATTGTTGAATTATTTCATCTATGTTCTTTTTTCAAAGTCTCACCTCAAAGTTTCAAAATAATCTTCGTTATTTCCATTCTGATGTTTGACTTGGAAGATTCCACATTCTTCCTCTAAATCTGTCTAGGAAAATTTCAATGAAAAATACTTTATATTTGTTTGATTGAAAATCAGAATGAATTATAAATTTTAGACCACGGTTAAGGTACCAATTGATACTACTTCGTTACAATTATTAATAATATCATATATATAATTATATAGTTCACACAAAACAACTAATTCCTGAATAGTAAATTATGAACAAGGATATAAAATCAAGTTCTAGCAGTTACAGTATAGACTTATGTTCAACGTTTTACGTGAATAGTAAATTATGAACAATGACACATTATCGAACTATGACAGTTGCAGTGTAAAGTTACATTCAATATTTTAGGTTTCTTATTGGTATTGGACACTAATTTTTTTACCTATTAAGCCATGAGTTATAGACTTATAAATTTTTGTGGGTATATCCAGAATTTTTACGGTCTCACACAATAACTAATCCCCTCGCTGAATTGTAAGTACCTCTTTTGTATAGACTTATATGATTTATCTATTCATTATTTTATTAGGCTAGAGCGGGGGTCTATAAACTATAGATCCCCACTATAAAAAATTTAAAATTATAAATTTGTTTTGAACTCAAAAATAGTAAATTAGAACGATGTTACTAACGAGATAAACTCATCTTCCCCACAAACACTCTGCATCGTTATCTCCTACATGAATGAGAGTCTAAGTTCCCTTCAAGCAGAGCTTCCATCACGGCATTCATGGTGGGAAGGTCATATGAAGCGTGCAATCTGGGTAATCTCAAGTTCCAGTCTTCTAGATCTAAACTACAAATCTCCAGATCTGAAGTAGAAAATTCGTGACAGTCAACTAATGGTCATCTCCGTGCACATTTCAATCTTTATATAAACCACAATTTTGGGCATAAAATTAAAGTCGTTCATATTTAAGCACTCCCTTCTTGTTTCCCTCCACTCTCTTCTTATACTAATCTGCTGAATCTTGAAGCTTGAAGCTATCAATTTCGCCTCTAAGGATTGCATTTCTTCCCAGTTCCACGTTGCGCACTTTCAATGAGTCTCGTTTCCAGGATTCCTTCAAGCACCCATTTCTCCTCCCAGCTCCCTCACTCGAAAACGCCCGTTTTTTTGAGAGTTTTCTGCATTCAATGTGTCTGGGAGAATAATAGCCCGCCAGGTGTTTGAGGAAAGTTCGGGGCTTTCTCAGTAAGTCGAAATGGTGGCGGAGCGTTGGCTGTTGAGGATGGGAAGTCAGGTGAGCAGTAATGTTAAGCACGCTTTACTTCTCGAGAATTCGAAAAAATTGAATTCCAAGAAACAGGTGATAGGCATACTTTCTTTTGAAGTTGCTAGTGTAATGTCCAGGATTATTCAGCTGTACAGCTCTTTGTCTGACCATGAGGTGCATAAGCTCAAAAATGAAATCTTGAAGTGTGTAGGGATAAGAACTCTGGTCTCTGATGATGAAACTAGGCTGTTAGAGTTAGCCCTTGTTGAGAAACTGGATGATTTGGGTAGAATTTCTAGTGTGGTGTCTAGGCTGGGGAAGAAGTGCACAATCCCTGCATTGCAGGGATTTGAGCATGTGTATGGGGATGTTACTTCTGGGGCTATTGATGTGAGGGAATTGGGGTTTTTGGTCAAGGATATGGATGGGATGGTTAGGAAGATGGAGAGATATGTGAACTTAACGGCGAGTTTATATGGTGAGATGGTGGTGCTGAATGAATTAGAAGTGGCGACGAGGAAGTTTCAGCATAATCACCATGAGGAGAGTAGGAAAGCTTATGAGCAAAAGTTGGCTTGGCAGAAACAGGATGTGAGGCACTTGAAGAATGTTTCGCTTTGGAATCAGGATTATGATAAGATCGTGGAACTGTTAGCTAGGACGTTATGTACTGTTTATGCCCGGATTAGTACTGTTTTTGGAAATAGAATTGTGAGGAAGGATTCGTTGAGTTCAGGCGGGCATATTGGAAGAAGAACCGTAAGGAGGAGGAATGCTAGTTACCATCCTCAGAATGGGTTGCAAAGAAGTGAACCGGGATTTGTTTGTCCAGATGATCTCAATTTTGCCTGTGGAATGGGACCGGGGAGGTTATTTATGGAATGCATAAGTTCAAGTTCTGCTTTGAAGGATGACGATTCGAGTGGAACGAGGATGGAACAGCCAAATTTCCCGGGTTGTTTGAGCAACAATGCAAGGTTCGGACCGAGAAACAAAGTTATGCTCTACACTTGTCCTAGAACCGTTGGAGCCTCTGCTTTGGCGTTGCACTATGCAAACGTCATAATCGCGATAGAGAAGCTGCTTTGCTACCCACATCTAGTTGGCGACGAAGCTAGGGACGATTTATACCAATTGTTGCCATCAAGCCTAAGAAAAACTTTGAAGGCTAATCTGAAGTCTTATATGAAAGGTTTGGCAATATACGATGCACCTCTCGCCCACGATTGGAAAGAGAGGCTTGACGAGATTCTGCAGTGGCTAGCTCCACTGGCACATAACACAATCACGTGGCACAGTGAGCATAACGTCGAGCAGCACGAAATCGTCAAAAAGACAAACGTACTCCTGCTCCAGACACTGTATTTTGGCAACCTCGAAAAGACAGAAGCCGCAATCTGTGAGCTGCTTCTAGGCCTAAATTACATATGCCGGTATGAGCACCAGCAAAACGCTTTGCTCGACTGTGCAAGCAGCTTGGATTTCGAAGACTGTGCAGAGTGGCAGTCACAAGTCAGAGCTTCTCTTCATTCTGGATAGGATAATGACAGTTTCATAACTAGGTACACAGTTTATGTTTATAGTTTCTTAGCTAGCTGCATTTGTTTGATAAAAGTAGAATAAATCAGATGATAGGTCAAACAGGGTGACAGTATTAGAATTCAGAACCTTGGACATTAAGGATGTCTAAATATAATTAGAATCTTTCATTGCTAGTTATGAATACAATGTAGCATTGTATCTTGTATATGCTCTCTTCATATATGAATCAGCAGATCTTCTTATCTTCCTCATGTTGGCCACTTAAAGGCATTATAATCTCCTTCTGTTTCAATGATCGAAAAATTAGATTCAGATCAGTTAAAAATATGATTTTTTTTTTTTTTTTTTTTAAAGTAACAAGGGAAACTTGTATTCAAAAACAAAGACGACAGAAAAACGAGGATGAACAATTTTCTTGGTTGAGCTTATCAGATATGGTTTTATTAGTGCAATTTACCTTTGATGTATTGTTTGTGGGCTGAGCCCGTCAGACAACAATTTTTCTAGTGCGATTTACCTTTATCCCATTTTGTCGGCTCGATTAGTCTCTATGTTGTGGGATGTAGATACCAGTGCAGTATGCAAAAAAAAAAAAAAAAAAAAAAAAAAATCTATATACTGAAAGCAAGAAACCATGTTTGTTGCATCCTTTAGTCTTAGGTTTCAACTAATGTTTGTTGAAGCATAATGGGAGTTGGTAACATTTATCCAAACCACATTAGTAATCAATGATTTGGAAAAGGAGCTGTCAAAAGCTTTATTCACTAATAAAACAAAGCAAATGAATCTTTATAAGGTATTGCTTTTACGTACCAAGGATCACTAATTGATTCTTGTTAGATTCATAAATAGTATGGGAATTACTAATAATGCATTGTGGGTCTCTTCCAACTTAACCATCGGATTCAAGTCTTGAGGGGGGGAGGTGCAACTACCAAATTAAACAACCCATAAGGAATGCTTTGCCATTTTTTGAGATCCTACCTGACACGATTTGTAGTCTCGATGTATGGCGTTTGAGTGTACCTTGACAATATGGTGATCATGATTGTTGTTGCACTGTTATTTTCACAACCAGGGTGGTCAGAAAAGTTAAAATTTTTAAAAAAGATTTAGACAACTTTTCGGTGGTAAGAAATTAAACATGTTTTTTTGGCGGTTGTATTTTACCTATTTTATTTTTGTCATTCTTGAAAATTATATACAAAGAGACTTTGAAAAGCAAATCAAATTGTTGGGTGGCAATATATTTGCTAGCTAGTTAATGGTACAATAATGGAGGATTTGAAAGTGATGGGGGGTTGTGTAGTGTGTATTAGGTTGCAGAAGTAGCTTTCAAGTGCTCATTTTTGGAGTTGTTTCTGTTTGTCATGGCTTCCTACATGGATTATGATAGTAAGATGTGACACATAATTGTATCAACTTTCTAATCATGTTTTCATGTTACATCTTCTCCCACCTTAACTTGTACTGTTTTTTGGGTGTGAAAAATGAGTTACTTTGTGGGATGTCTTTTGTTTTGTTTTTCTTTTAATAACCCATAATGTTTCATGGCTTTGCTGGTATATCAATTTAATCTATTCTCGTCTAATATATGATCGAACTCCAACCTTGTTGCTGGAAGCAAGTCTTAAGTAAGATTTTTCATTTACTAAACAAATGTTATAGGGGTATGTTTTTATTTATTGGTTGAAAATGATAATGTTATTTGTATTGATGTTGGGCGGAGCCGTAGAGAGCAGAGTGTAGCAGTATCCTGCTATCGAAACGTGGCGCTAACTGCTATGCAAGTATAGTGAAATAAAGTTGCGATTTCGCTATTAGCTATAACTTTTGGAACTCCTGCTATGCAGTGAGTCTGACAGGTGTTAGAAGGGAGTGCGCAACTTGCTAAAGTGCATACAAATAACATTAACAAAATTTCCCGATAATCAATTACTATGAAAGGTTACGATACTTGACTTAGTTACATTACATGATACAAATTTGAGTACAAGTAACATTTGGCCTTTTGCTGCAATGGACTCACCTTAGCTTGTACAACGGAGTATATAATAAGCTTGATTTAGTGAAACATTTGTTGGAGAAAATGTCAAGTATTTGTTGATGAAAATGATGCATTTGTTGTTTTGCACTGTTTGATAGCATGTGACACATCAGCTAATTCAATATTCAAGATTCTATTTAACGATTTTGGCATTTACACAACTAACCAAAATTGAAAAAAATATCATGCAAATGAAAATGTGACAAGTGTTCAGATTAAATAATTTTTAAAATTATCAATAGGTTGAAAAAATAGTTATAAACCGATATTATATTGTAACAGAGTCAGTAATACTCAAAAAAATTTATTACTAAAACGAGAGTAATAAATTTTATTTATAAGAACGGGATTACAAAAACTCAAAAGACGGTCCTAATATCTAAATATATATGATATTTTTAGTACAATTTATCTATTGTGACGGTAATTTTTCTCATTACTAAAATAGGAAAAAAAATTGACAAATGCACAATTTGAAAATCTAATCAAACTAAAAAGGTTAACAGTTTGAAGAGTGGGTCAATCTGCCTTTACCTACTGTCGGAACATCAATTACTTTGTGTATCTCTGTCAATCTGTCATATGTTGGATTGGAGTAGTACAAAATATGAAATTTGCATGATATTGTTAATATTTTTAATTAAAATGTAAAAAATATTATACATCTCTCGTAAAATGATATTACATAATATTTATTTAATCTTTTGTGTGTGCATATGTAAGATCATTAATCTCTCTTTAATTATTATTGTGAGTATCAATTGTATCGGTTTGAATCAAACACTTACGTATATGTCAAAGTTTGCACCCATTAGTCTCAACTACTTGCTATGATATTAAATGTTAAAATCAACCGTTTAACATTGCATTAAAAGTTATTGTTGATAACAAATGTACAATTTTATTTATTTATTTATTAAAAAACTTGCTTAACTGCTAATGTCACATTTCGATATATATTAAACCATTAGATTTTGTCCCAAAGTTTTTTTTTTTTTTTTTTTTTTTTGAATTGATTGATAAATCTTTTTTTTTTTTTTTTTAAATCAAAGATGAGGGGAATGCCCAGGAAAGCTAGCTACATCAATGGTTGTGTTTAGTGATTTTTTCAATCATACTACTTAATGGCAAGGGAGGGGGAATAATCTTTTGTTACAAATGCCTTTTGTTTGAGTAAATTTAAAAAATCATATATTTGAGTTTTATTTCTCGTATAAATTTAAAAATAACTTAATTTTAAATTAATTAAAATTTAATATAATTATCGAATATCATATCGATTGATTTATGATGGAAATATTGCATAGAATTTTATTATGCGAAAGATCATGCATGAACATCGAGTGTGTCTTTGCTCCAGATGTTTAATGCATTGTGGTTTTGGCTTTCAAAAAAAAAAAAAAAACTACTAATAATATATTTAGTATAATCTTATAATGAATGCGTCACTTCATTCCTTTTTTTATACTAAATCTAAATATATACTCCGTAATATAAAAATAAATTAAAAATAGCATTAAGTGAAGACATATTTAAAACGTTTTTTCAACCCCCTTAGCATTTTTACTTTATAAGCAATATATGCGTTATAATATATATATATATATATATATATATATATATATATATATATATATATATATATATATATATCCACTGGCTTCATTTTTTTTTAAAATTATTTTGTTAATTTTATACTTAGGTGATCCCGTTTCACCCAACTAATCCTAAGCTCACAGGACCTTGCCCTTAGAGTTACTGCAGAGGTAAATTGCAAGTTGCACAATTAACTCACTGGTCAACTCTTAATTGTCATGCGTGCATATGGGATCCAGTTCACCTTACAACACTAGCCGACAAAGAACCACAAAAAATAATCAGTAAACCTGAGGGGGTGTGGTTGAGTGGAAGGGACTCATCCACCTTTAATCAAAGGTCAATGGTTTAATTTGATCCTTGGCTTTGGGTATGGAGCAACCTTAAATCTCCAGGCCAGCTGTCCACCCAAAAGAGGTGCTTACAATTCAGCGAAGGGATTAATCACTGTGTTTGACGATGGAAACTCTGAGTACACAAAAAAAAAAGACAAAAAATAATCTGTTTAAATTGCCTATAACTGACTAGCTCAAATCGAAAAGACGAATAAGCATCTCTCACTGGAAGTATCCTTTATTAGTATGTGTGTGTGTGTTTCCTTTTAAATCTCAATCAACATGGTATTGAGATAAGTGTTAATGGTACATGATATAACTTAAATAGCATATATATAGTTGTACCCTATGAAAATTAAAAGTACCGGTATTATTTAGCATTGAAGAATTTTTCAAAAATATGTAATATTCATTTTGTTTATTTTCAAAAGTTTGATTAATTAAGAAAATATAATACGGCTTACATAAGATGTGATTTAAGACAAGTAGTAGTAAAACTTTTCATATTTGTTAATTATTATTATCACGGATATCTTAGTTGTTTGATTAGTTAAGTTTGAGACTATATGAGGTTTGGTTTTCATCTGTGTGAAGTATTTCAATTTCAAGGGGCAAATGAACTCTCTTAATGGGAGAATATTTCGAGATAATTCGAATTCAATTTCTACAAGCGATTGATCTTCTTGAAACGAACGGGGATTAGTTGGGTGGACCCAGGCCACGAACCACCGCCCACATGGCCAGACCATAGTATCCCACCACTATACACTTTGCATTAGTCTTGATTACAACCTAATCTATTTCTAACCTGCACCCACTACACATTATTCACCTAAGTACATCCACTCTCTCTCTCTCTCGTAGACTTTCCCCATCCGCTCAATATTTCGATCCACAAGACAGCGATATATATGCTGCTTCCACTACGCCCCACCACCACCAAAACCCTAAATATATAAATACACACACTGTATCTATACACTATACACACACACATACTTACATCTATATATACACTACTCATTATACTTGTATCAAATGAGTTGTGTTATGAATTATTAATCAGCAAAAACAACCAAACCTCAGCGCTCCCCAACCAAACCAATCATAGAAGTCCTCAAACTTTTTCTTGGTATGCTCTTTTGTTTATTGTTTCATTTGTCCTTTCCCCTTTCCTTTTTTTGGGGAATATCTACTATACTCTTCCTTCTATGTGTGTGCTTTACTCTTCCTTTATTAGTTTGTGGCATGATTTTATCAATAGCGAATGAGTAAATTACAGTGATTCAGCCATCCATAAAATTAAGAGATCTATGCTGGGGCGCATAAAAAGCCCACCAGGCCACCATATTTAGGTGTAATTCTCACACTACTATCGAGTATCGATAGCTCGATTTTGTGTCTTTACTCAAAATCTATCACTCGTAAACTGACTGAGTACTGGTGCGGAACCTTTCTCCCTTTACTTGATTCCATGAAATACAACGGCTGCATCTAATTCCATCTCTTTTATACCCCCACCCCTTACTATATATGTATATATGTGTCTATATATATAATAATGCATTAAAAGAGAGCTAAGCTATTCCATTTCTTGTTTTCTGTAGTTTTACTCTTGAATCTGTAGACTATAAAGTTTGATCGGAGTTGTGAGTTGGATTGCTCTCTGATCTTCAGTCTGGCGAAGATGTGGTGGGGTGGACAGGTGGGGTTGCCGGCGGCGGGTATTTGCTCGCCTTTATTCACCAAAGAGCTCTCCTTGATTACAGAAAGCAACAAAAATGGGGATAGTAATGAAGAGAGCAGAGAGAATGATAATAATGAAGAAGAAGATGAGTGTAGAGAGGGGGCGGTTCTTGAAGTGGGCACTAAGCGGCCGAGGGGGCGGCCGCCGGGGTCGAAGAACAAGCCGAGGCCGCCGATTTTCGTCACGCGCGACACCCCCAACGGGCTCCGGAGCCACGTGATGGAGATCGCCGGCGGGACCGACGTGGCGGAGAGCATAGCGCAGTTCGCGCGGCGGCGGCAGAGGGGGGTTTGTGTCCTCAGCGGGAACGGCGCCGTCGCTAATGTAACGCTCCGGCAGCCCGCCGCTCCCGGCGCGGTCATGTTGCAAGGCCGGTTCGAGATTCTGTCCTTGGCCGGGACGTTCCTCCCCGGGCCTTCCCCGCCGGGGGCCACCGGTCTCACGGTGTACTTAGCCGGCGTTCAGGGGCAGGTGGTCGGAGGGAGCGTGGTGGGGCCGCTGGTGGCCGCCGGACCCGTCATGGTCATTGCCGCCACCTTCGCTAACGCCACTTATGAAAGATTGCCAATTCTTGAAGACGACGACCTGCCGGACTCCAGAGGTGGCTCCGCCGCTCAACTCCCTATTGATGAGTCCCCTCCGCCGCTTGCCGGAGCGGAACACCACGGCCTGCCGGAACCTTCCTCTTCCCTACCTCTATACAATCTTACACCAAATCTGTTTCCTAATGGAGGGCAATTGAGTCCTCATGATCCCTATGCTTGGCAACATCCTCGGCTCTCCAATTTCTAAGACCATCAAGAATCAAGGAGAACTTTAGCACCATGAAGAGAAGACAACAAGGTAACATTATCCTAAGTGTTTGATTTTCTACCTAGGTTATAGATACATCTCTATCTAGCTATGTGTATGAAAATGGAATGTTGTAGTTTATTTAATTTGTTTGAGTTACAAGGGAAACCTGCAGCTATTATCCGAAATTGTGCTGTACGGAATAAGTTCTGCATTTGGTTTAAATTAGAAAGATTAAGATTAATAGGTCGCTCTCGCTAGGTGTTGAACTTGTAATCTTGTGGTCTATAAATCAATCGACCAATTTGATTGGGGTTACATTAGAAGGATGGAGTGGAATGTTGTAGTTTATATATATGGGATGGAGGGAAAGAAGAGAGAGTGTAGGCTTATGATGTGTTGTAAATTACCTCTTGATTGCTACCATTGTGTTTGCACTTTGCAATAAACTAAAACATCCTTTATTTCCTAAATTATTCCTTAAATCTTATCATAGTATACATATACATACATACACACACACACACACACACACACACACACACACATATATATATATATATATATATATATATATATATATATATATATATATATATAGACTCACACTTTGTTAATCTTCTCCCATTATCATCATCTTCTAATATAATTAAAATGTGTCTTTATGTTATTATATAAAAATGAAAACCATCTCTATTGTTTCTTGTGTTTTTTTTTTCTTTTCTTTTCTTTATACTTTGATCAAAACTTCACACCGCACTAGGAAGACTTGTGACGTGTGAAAGAATAGGTCCTTTGTGGCAGTTCTATCCAATTTCAGGTTGTTGTAATTGTTTCTGTCTTACTTTGGTTGTAGCCTCTATATAAGAGGCCAATATACTTTGATTGTTTTATTCAATTCATTGAATACACTGCTTTCATATGACGTACCTTTAGCTACGAAAGTCATACTCTACTCATTCAATCAACCCTTAAAGACATCTCTTATTTTCTTATTATTGTATTTATTGATAGTGTTGTATATATGTGTATTGTAGCCCCATCTGGGCCATCTATCACAATAATGCAAAATATTTAAGCTTGTCTGCCAGAACTAAGTGGGGTTGAAAGAACCTAGAACCACCCTTATGATCTGAACAAGTGTCTTATTATTAATTACTACTCCATTAGAGAGCTCTAAGTGACATGTTAGTTGGAGTCTTGAAGATACTATAGATTTGTATGAGTTATATTAGAGTTACTTTTATTTTATTTTATATTTTTTGACGTGATAACAGGTCAGGTCATCATGATATTAGTATTATTCGACTCATTTTGTTTCTTCTTTCGGATATTATATATAGAATATAATACTTCCGGACACGAATTTTGACTTAGAAATTGCATGGTTTTGGTGATTTGATGATGCAGGTTTATTGTTGACATGGAGATTTTAATAAAGGATTTGAATCACCTGGAAATTAAACCATTGAAATAAACATGTATTAGTGGTGGCCTGGTGTATTAGTGATTATGTTGGTGATGAAAGATTGATATATTTAATTAATTTTCTGCTTCGTTTCATGGTGGTCAACTAGACACAAAATCTTGTGAAGATTTACTAATAGCTTCTATATGTATATATGCAATATCACTTTGTTTTTTATTTAGTTGAACATGATGTAACACCTTAATGTTAATGAGTAAAATAATTTGTAATGTTAATGTTGTGCAGAGGTCTGAAGGACTAAGTTTATCATCTTGTTACTGAAACATAAAATTAGTTATTTTTAGATTAGGATTAAAATATATCCATCATTTTTTTATGACGATCACGATAAATACTTAAAGATGTATATTGGGTAAACTCCATTCTTGTGTAATAGAGGACACATCCATCTTGTTTATTAGATATACTTACAATTAGTTCATTGGACAACTATAAATCAATTTATAAAATTAATTAGTTTGGGAAGAATAAAATTAATTAGTAACTTCAATCATTATCCGATTATTGGATTGACGTTTTAATATTTTATTTTCTATTTAGCTCAATTATTTTGTTGTGAACTCTAATTTGTCTTTGTATGTTCACTTGATCGAATCAACCAATTAAATTGTTAATTTGTCTTTACAGGCAAATATATATATATATATATATATATATATATATATATATATATATATATATATATATATATATATATATATATAATTATATAATTTAAAGAGTTGAAAATCAAACTTGTGATTTTGTATCATTAATTAACTTACATCATAAGACTCACAACTACAAGGTCTTTAGGGATATTAAAAAAGAAAAAAAAAAGGAATAAGTTAATAGCTAAAACTACTAGCAATGACAACCCCGGCCCCATATATTATATAACCTATGATATTGTTCTTGTAGCTTTGGACTTAACCTATGATATAACCATTATTATAATATAACCTTATTAACCTATGATAATGGTTTCTATAATATTATATGTGACGATTTGGTATTGTAACTTAAAAATAGTAAAGGTGTTTGTGGTCCAAGTTATTAACTTTATCAAGAAAAATGGAGGACATATACCATAATTTAATGTTATTTACTCATTTAATTTTAAACGTTTGTTGCGCGTCAACTTAGGATCGAGTCTAGCATTTTGCTATTAAAACGTGGTGCTGACTGTTATACAAGTATAAAAAAATAAAGGTGTGTTTTTACAATTTACTATCTATAGTTTTTGGTGGAGTGGTAAATACTTAATCTTGACATCGTTATTTTAATTTTCATGATTACCAATTACTCACAAATAACTATTAAATCATTGAGATTGAATAGCTTACAAATATTTTATTAAAAAAAAAAAAAAAGAACAACTTACAAATAATGTGTCAAAATTGAAATTTCACCCACATTTAATTATGATAGAAATCAAACCTATGAAGAGCCTTCAATCAACTCAATTAAAACCTTGCCAAAAGTTGCCCCGCCAAAAAGAGTGATCGAGTGGGTGAAACATGATTTTCGTAATAGAATGTCACGAGTTTAATCATTGTCAACCTTATCTTAATTGAGTTTGTCACACATGATCTTCTTAGTGCGATTTACTTCTTTGTGTGGTTTGCGAGCTATTATACAAATTTATATATGTTATTTCGATCTTCTTTAATCAATACTTTTTATTGTTATTATTTTTTCTTCTTTAATCAATTTGAAAACATGGAAAATGAGTATGGTTTTGTACTTCTATTCCTTTTCCCATTCGAGCAGGGAAATAACTTTAATTTGTTTATTTAAACTTGAAAAGAGATCTTTAAATTAATTAAAAATAAAATATATTAACACAACTATCACAAAGATAATGTCTAATTTTCCTAACCTGGGAAATCTGGGTGGCATTACCACTGACCAATTAAAGGTTGTCCCTAGCTTATAGGAATGGTGAGACTTAATTAATAATATATTTAATTAAAAACTTATAATACAAATTAAACAACCATTATAAAATTTTGATAAAACATTTATATTTCTATAATTAGGATATCTTTAACCAAGCAAGATATCATTCCATTTTAGGAAACAACAATATTGTGATGTCTCACATGGGTGATAAATATATACAAGTTTGGTGACCCTTAGCTTAATTGCATAAGATTATTGGACTTAAAAATTTGTTAGGTAGAGGCTTGGATGGTCGAATCTAGTATCTTGTCATCAAAACATGACCTAATTGTTACGCAAGTATAAAGAAATAAAGTTGTACATTCGTTACCAGCTATAACTTCTTTTTTTTTTTTTTTTGGTGATGAGAGAAACCCATAGACATTATCCGAAGGTGTGTCATAGGTAAATCCCGCCTTGTGATCTTAGCCGACAAAAGATCATAATAAAGTAAATCAGTCTAAGTTGTTCATAGTTGACTGATATAAACGAAGAAGACCAATAGGCCCTTACTAATCGTGAGATGTGCTTACGGTTATTGATAGGATTTGAACCTGCGGCGATTACTAAAACAAAACTTATAAACTTATTTTGAATTGATTAACCAGTTGAGCTGTATGCATGGGACAATACTATATTTTATACACACTCAAAGCATCCTAATTAACTTAATTTTTGTTTGTTCTTTTAAAAGAAGAATTCTAATTAAATAAAGTCGGCAGGGAACATGAAGGACCCTCTTCACATGAACTGACGTATTATCTCTGGATTAACCTGATTAAAAACCTTATTAGAATATGCCTAATTATAATTTTATAATATGAACGTATAATTAATGTAATGGGACCCTGTTAAGTTCAATAATTGCTAACTTTAATTATTTTTTTTTCCCTGCTAATTAAACTAATCATCCCCTCCATGGAAAAGCTAAGGCCAGTAAAAACAAAATTAATTATTGCTTTTCTTTCAAAGTGCATAGACGCTCCACCACTTCCACTTTGCAGCAAAATAATATGCCTCTTTTCAACTAAAACTTTAAACTGATATTATACTATTGCCAAATTGAATGATGTCTTCCATTTGCTATTTCAGAATCCTACAATTACTGTCAGGGTCCGAGTTTAGCTCACTGGTTCAGTAAACAGTAACCAAGGTTCAAACCAACAGTATGAATTATGTCCAAAGTTGATAGATCCCTTATACACACCGGCATTTGGTCCTGTCTACTGAACTATTGAGTCATCGTCTCAAATGCTCAGTCTACTGAGTCATGAGTCACCGTCCTAATTAAATGCTCTGTCAAGTGTTGGAGATTCAACTTTTTGTACGTATTTCACGCAGCAGCGCCTAGTGGGCGTGTAAACAGTTTAACTTTTCCCCTTTCTCTTCCTCTCTCTTCCCTTCCCTCCCTCTTGGCAAGAAAAAAATTTGACAAAAAATTGGTGTTGTTGGGGATGCTCTTAGTGGATTCTTTATCAAGATAATGAAACCAATAAGTTGATTGATGTGATGATGTAAACTTCCTTTAAATATAGTTAACAATTTCATGTGTTCATGGCCTTATGTGATCCCAATAAAATCCTGTCATGCAATAATGGGATTAGTTACTGCATTTCCCACCACACTTCATTCCTGTATTCATATCTCATCATCTTATTTCTTCCAAAATATCCTTAGCTTGTACTTACGTACGATGATAGAGTTCTAGAACACCGCCATCAGTGTTGAGCTAAGGTTGCATTTGGGCATTTGGCACAGTAATAAGAATGTTTCCCAAAGAAGCAGCAAAGAAAGTAGCAATAGGGAAGAAGAATGTTGGCTTCGAAACACGACCAAGAAGAAGAGATCAAAGGTTTGATTCTTGACTTTGGGTATAGAGCAGTCTTAAATCTTCAAGCCAACTGTCTCACCTAATAAAAATGTCTACAATTCAGTCAAGAAATTAGTCACTGTGTCTGAAGATGGAAACTCTGGATTACGCAACAAAAAAATTGAAGTTAGAAAATACTCCTCTTTTTGTCTCATAACTTCCATCAATATAATCACTCAATGTGGCTTAAGACCAAAATGAGTGTTTTACTTTGGTCCATTGCTTGGAAAGAAGGTAAAATGAATATGGTATTGGTGGGGCCATTCCACAGGTAAAAACATCGGATTCATCAACTTGTCTTTTCTTAATCTAATCGGAGTATTTGATGAGAAATAAGAAAATTCTAAGCAACCTATTTTTGTCGTGGAGTACACCTCAATACCTCATCCTTAACTTATTTCAAGAAACCATCAATCATGCTGCATCAAGTTTGTGTCTTGATAAACACAAACTAAGACTTTGTGATCAACCAATCAACATTTAGAGAATGTCGAGTAAATAGCTGTTAGCTTATAGTTGTTATTTGATTGGGTTAATAAGATTAACTAGTTGAGAATATTAACTAACTGTAAAAAAATGTTTGGTAAATTAGCAATTAGCTGATTACATACAGAATGACTTTCTCAAAAAGTTACTTTGAACAGCTTTTTGAATTTTAATATTTTGAAGCAATAAACTATTACAAAAAGTTAATTAATCAAACACTCATATTGATTGTTTAACCAAGCAAACAACTAATAGTGATCAAATTGATTGATAGGCTAACTATTTTACCGAACAGGGATTTAATCTTATTTTCAATGACAACGAAATAAAAGGCTAATTCATGGGATCTAGAATATAGTCAGACAAAACAAGGGTAAAATTCATTCAACCACCCAGATTCAACAACCAAATCCAGAAGTACCACTGCACCAGATATGGATTCATCAATATTCATATTGGAGGATGAAGATTCATCAGAACTAGACTACTCAACCACCCAGATTTACAGAGACATTAAAGCAACATATTCAACTGAATTCATGGCTCAAAACCATTGTCCCAGATTAATCGAGGTTGCTTTTATGACAAAACAGTACAGTTTCTGCTTACTACTACTTTCTAATTGAATATTCTGTAGAATAATTGAATGTCACTGCTACTTCCTATCGATTTTGCTGGAGCACAAACTAGTATTTTATAAGAAACTTTGCTAGTTAGATGTCAACTCGGAGTAAATATGTAAGTTTAGATAAAGATCCGAGAACTGAATATAGGGATGACAAGATAAAGAAGTGACTTTCTATACCGACTTGATGGAGTTTGCGTGATCTGTGCAACTGTATTCTTCATTGTTATCGAGGGAGCGATAATTCAACAGATTTCATCTGCAACGTAACGGTGGTTTGTCTTTAATTTGATTTTCATTCCCTTGCCTTA